GGGGGAAGCATCTTGCTTTTTCCCCAATTTATGTAAGCTGTTCATAATATATAAGAGAGGAGGTTGCAATCCATGAAAACAAACTGCTCTGAGCTGCTTCACAGCAGAAATTTCGACAACTCACTCTGTCACCTATAAAGAAGACATAGAAGTGACCCTTACACTTCAGCAGCACAGTCAGATGCCTTCAGTTAGGCAGCATAAGTACTTCCAAATACTTACTCAAGCAAAAGAAATAAACAGGTATGAGGATGAGTAAAACTACTACAATTCCACAACTGTCTCCCAAATATGTGCTGGACTCCAGGAATTAAACAGGACTTTCATAGGCACAGGCCAATTCATTCTGTCTCGAGCTTCAGCACACACAGGCGCAGAAATTAATTCAGCTATCTTCCCTAGTCTTTTAGCAATGTTGTTATCAAAGAAACAGAACCGAGAAGGACCACTGGCTATCTAGCTTTCTATATAAAACCAGTTAATTGTCATTATCATTCTAGCCACCATAATTACAATTAATTGTTTTTCCATATACGTTTTACACACACACATTTTCACTAAGTCAGCTATACTGAAAGCTTGAAGAGGCTGTGCTAGACCATACAAAAATCCCTCACAATAAAAAGCAATTCTGAACTCTAATACTAAAGTAGCTGCTCTTGATTCAAACTAACAGATTCACTTTCATTAGCTCAGAAAAATCCATTCTGTGTTATAAAAATGTATCTTTGTAATGCTAGACTATGTTCACACTATACAATGTTCTTCAGATAGACAGAATACAACCTCAAACTCACCTGCGTAGCTGATCTACTTCCAGGACCTTGGCAATAAGTTGTTAGTTTTGTAGAACAGATACAATTTGAAATAGAAGGAAGCTATTACAACATAAATCTGGCAAAGTTTTTTTACTACTTTTCATAAGCTTGTTTTCACTTGGTAAAACCAAATAAAACTAACACTTGAAAGCACTAGCAGTGGTAGAGGAAAGATACTTTTAGCTCCAAGAATACACAGCCTTTGTTCTGAAGTCTGTGGCATACTTCAGTCTCTCCGTTCCCTCTTAGTTCCTGATGACACCAAAACTTCCTCTCTTTGGCACTTTGCTGACTCCTTCCACAACCTGACACTGACAGTCCTCTCATTAAAGCCACCTTGGCAGTGCTTCTGAAACTACATGTGAGGTTGTCATTCGGCCCCAGTAGACCAAATGCCAAAAAGCACTTCCTCAGCAAGAACAAGACAAGAAGTACTGACTGCAGTTGACATTTATCTGAAGGCACAAATGTTAAAAAAAAAAAAAAAAAAAGAAAAAAAAAAATCAGATAAGAAGTAATCTCCATAACTAAAATTATTTGTTCTCTACCAAATTAATCAGAAAAAGCTATGAAGCATGTGAAATTTTGACAAATCAGCTGACCTTGCAATGTTTTCATGGAGATACCTACTTTGAAATTAATTTTGCTTTCATGCTGGTACTGTTACTACTGATCAATAACACAGAAAGAGTTCTGTACATCTAGGCTTAAAAGAATTAGAGTCTACACATTTTTCCAGTATTATTCTACCCTTTTCAGACAGATTCACCCCCCCCCACCCCTGCCACAAAGTTACAAAGCAGCAAACCCAAGAACAAATCTCAGTACTCAGTCCTATACTCTAATCAGGAGACACATCTTTCCCGAAAATAAATGTCTTTGCATAACTTTGAATGTACTATTATATTATTTAATGCAATTTACTTACCATATAATGAGCTCAGAAAAGTGTCATCAATTGCATTTATGAGGAAAGCCTTTACTATTCTTTTGAAGTGTACATAATGATCACAGCGAGATACTGGGAAGAAAGCAATATAACCAGAATTTACCATTAAAGGGAAAAAAAAAGAAAAAAAATGCAAGCAATGTTAAAAGCCCTGTAAGAATAATTCTTTTTTTCCATTATTTCAATGTACAACACCCACACCCTTAAGACCTTGCCTTTAAATAGTGCTTCTCATCTCCATGATCTTAATGAATTTTAGCATCTTAAAGTCACACATCCTTTCAGCAAAAAGAGCCCATAGCAAGAACTACAAACACTAAAAGAAGAGAATAATTTGTTCTATGAATAGCAGGAAATAATGCAAACCAGAGAAGGACATGCTTATGGGTTTTTGTTTGTTTGTTTTTTCTTTTTTCTAACTTACTTTCAAATACACACAATTCTGCTCAGGTCTTTACTGGGGAAGAAATACCACAAATGCTTGTGACCATCTCCGCTAGCACTGACTGTCCAGTCAGTACATACCTGCTTCTGAACAAAAAATCAGTAAGAAGATAACTAGCATAGAGTTCCATTTCAAATCTCTGTGCTCCATCCAGATACCAGTTTTCATAAAAGATCAGCTTGAAAAGTTTTCTCACTGTGCGGTTCCGCTGAAATTGAGCGGTGAATTCAGAAACCCCTATAGATCTGTGCTGCCAAGTCTTACCACAATGGAATAAAAATATGTCAAAAGAAAAAAAATCCCAAGCCCCAAAGCCCCCCAAAGTCATGGCAAGAATTTTATGTCACTCCCCATAACAGAATTTGGCCAAAATTAACATTGCTGCACTCAGTACATATCACAAGGTGGAGGATGATGCTTTTAGGTCTCCGCAAGAATGACTACATCATAGGTAGCCTACTTCATCCTAAATCAGACCAACTTAAAAAAATCTGTGCAATAGAGTTTCCCTTCCTTCTCCCCAAATTATATGCTCCCTTTAATAAGATACAGAAGGACTGCAAAAGTTTACTGTGGAAATCAAGAGTACTCCTACAACAAGTCAAAGCCTTTTACAAATCTGCTTTTAAACTATCATATCCTATTACACAGTAACAGTATTTGTATTTACAGTCCATTAATATTTATTACAGCACTACAAGCAAGTTATACATATAGAATTGTTACTAATTTTGATCTCACAGTGTGGGACGTAGTATGCCAGCAACTCGCTATTTGATGTATTTAGTTCCTTCTGTTGTGACTGGTTTTCAGTCTTTACGTGCTCTACATTGTCATCGTCATCTTCCTCTACTATAAAATCTTTCATGCTGTCACTGTCAGTTTCACTATCTTCTGTTGGTGTGAGGGGCAAGTGACAGAATGGCTCCTCTTCCATTTCTGCTTCACCATTAGAATCCTAATGAAATTTTAAAACAGAATTTCAAACACAAGAATTTTCAGTATTTGCACTGACAAAATACTACATATACTGGATAAGATTTTGACCTTCTCAAAATACCATTTGTTCAATTCACAAGAAATAATATGTTTAAAAAACCCACATCATTCTGTACTAGATGACAATTACTTTCAGCTTTAAATCAGCCATCTCCGTGTACCTCTCTTCAGTCTATTTGTAGGAATTAAGCTAACATGAGATCTCTAAGGTACTTCAGCAGGTATTTTGCTTCTTGATAAAAATCATTTGATAGTCCTTTCATGTGTGTCTTCTTTACAGGGAAAAAAGGAATGATAAAGAAGTTTTTCCTTTCTGACTACACAGAGAAGATAGATACCTGTGTTCTAAGCTGCTTAGTCATCAGAATGCCTGAAAGAGCAAATGAAAGGAAATTCTTAAATCTTCAGTGTTTAAAATTAAACTCAAGATAAAGGTTTTCAGAAGTCAATATTATTACCTAGCTAATGTGACAACTGTTAGAATGTGACAACTACTGATTTGTGATGAATAAAAACCAAGCCAAAATAAATAAAATCTCACTGAGTTTTATTTATAGGTCTTCACCTTCCCCTACATTGAGTATTTTCTCCAACTGAACTTCAAAGAAAATCCAGACCTCACAATTTTCACTGCTGCAGGATCTCCGAGTTACTCTTTGTCTTGCAAGTTCTTTCAATTTTGCAAACACTTTCTGTTTCCTATTAGTAGAAACATTTTCTGTAGGGCAGGTTTTATCAGGCTGCTGTTCTTCGGAACTCTCATTTTCATCCATTATACAGTGGCGTTTAGCAAAAACTTTTCTGACAAGTATGTCACTGTCCTCACTTTCATCACTGTCATATAAGACAGAGGTGTTCAACCTCTTACGCTTCCCAGGCACGATGCACTCATCCTCACCATCTTCTGTTACTTCTCCATCATGGCTTTTCTCTTCCTGACCTGAAAGGCTGTTCTTCACAACAGTTTCATCTTTTTCATCTACTTCATCTTCTGATGTGGTCGACTCTTCCTCCTCAGAGGTACCTGAGGATTCATCGTTGCTGTCAAGCAGTATGAGCTCCCTTTTAGTGCGTCTCCAATCAACTCGAGATTTGGATGACAACAGTTCTGTTCCTGCTGTCTTATTTCTTGTTTCATATCTTCTGACAACTGCTTTTATTTCCATTGGAAGGCTGTGACAACACACCAAAATACAAACTGGTAAAACAAAGCACTTATTACATTACAGCATTATAACAAAAAAAGTACCACGGCTTGCATATTTTGTTACATATGCTTATGACTTAACAATATCATTATTAAGAAACACACACAGAAATCAGCACCAAACAAAACTAAGCATGCACAATAACTTCTGAAGAGGATACACCTTACTCAAAAAATACAGAAAAGTGGAACTGCCCACACTCAGCATGAATGAACTGGAAAAACCAGGTCCGAAGTGCAGCTACAGACCCCCTCATCCCCTCCACCGCTGGAAGCCTACAGCTGAGGCAAGGAGCTTCCCGCTCTTGAGGAGCGGCGCCCATCCC